CCTCTCAGATACCTCTGTGAGAATCTGTCGGCTAAGGCTTTGAAAAACAAGGATAACTGAGAAACGACAAACGGGTTGCTCTTGAGTAGCTCTGAATGTTTTTGAACCCCCTTATCTGGCCTGTGGCTCCTGTAGGCCGCCCGTTGAGTACAGTCTTGAACTTCTCCAGCTCGCCTCCGAATTGTGCCAATCTTTCCACCGTATGTTGGAGTCTGTTATCTCTGCGACTTTCCCTCCCGCCAGCCAGACTTTGACGAACTTGGAGAGGATACTCTGTCGCCGGTCTTCATCGTCCGGCAACGAGTACCTTGTCTTGTGCCATCTGCATAGGATCTCTGCCCGAATCAAGGTCCTTGTCTCCACCCACACCTTTTCTCTTGGCAATGATAGTCCTTCAATAGTCCCGCCGCATCTTTTCTTCCAAATCGACCAGAGTGTTACCTTCCTGATCATGCGAAACCAATTCCTTTCCGTATTATCGAAATCAGCCGCAACGTTAGTCATGCCAAACCAATTCCTTTCCGTATTATCGAAATCAGCCGCAACGGTAGTCCATAGAAGAAGTTGGATAGGATGTTCAGGTTGGGGGTTGGAGAAGAGGGATTCCCAGAGGTCAGAAGCCCTGGCCCAGTACTCTGCCGCTTCCTTACACCGAATTAGGCGGGGGGTTGAGGGGGACGGTGCGGGAGGGAGAGTGCTACTATAGAGCTGGGTCAATGCTTGCTCACATGCTTCCCTGGTGCTTGCTATAATTAGGGATTGGACAGGAACTGGTAGCCACCGCATCATGTGGGGCCGCAGCAGGATGGGACCGTTACCTTTTTGGGCCGAAGGGGAGACCTTTTGGCCTGCTTTCTAGATCGTGAAGGGGGGTGGGATGGCACCATTATGATTTGTCACATACAGTAGTGATTGTGACCAATTTGAGGGTGCACACAGACATAGATACACACACTCAAAATCCTCGTTATGTGTACGTGGTGATCTCTAATGGTGTTTGAAACCCTCCAATATGTAAGACACATGTACATGTAGGAAGCTGTTCTGAAACTGGCTTCCCAATTGACTGGTGGATTGATTGTGTTTGTTGTCTTGTCATCCCAGATAAGCCCTAATTTCCGCCAAGCGCAAGCTCTTATGAAGATGGTGGGTGACAGGATTCAAGCAGGTGAGTACTTTGGTAGCTTTCAAAAGTGCATTCTCAGGGGTTGCTAGTACTTGCTATGTTGTGCGGTTGGTTTCTATGCTATAACAGTCGGTTGATATGCCATAACAGGCAGTTGCTATGCTATGCTGGCTATTGCGATGGCATGCACGTGGCTGCAATGCTGTGCAGATGCTTGCTATGCTATACTAGCGGGTGCTATACTGTGTTATACTATGCAGGCAGTTGCTATGCTTATGCTATCCTGGTGGTGCTATGCTATGCCGGCAGTTGCCATGCTATGCAGCTGGTTGCTACGCTATGCAGTTTAGAACAATTTAACGTTTCTATCCAACGGTTTCTGAACTGATACCATGGCTTCTACGGCTGTCCGAACCTCGCTCCTTGGCGCCTATCTCCTTCTTCCTTGCCTCTGGACTCCTCCACTATTGCAGTTTCGGTGCTGTTTACAAGGCAAAACAAGCTAATCCTCCCATTTTGAGCATATCTTGTTCATCAGACATTGCATGAATCACAGAACCTGCACTCAAAAAAAGTAATGCTTTAAAAAGAGCATGGTTCATCAGATGAAATACACTCACAGAATAATTGGAGATACCACAAGCGAATACCATATAACCTAATTGGCTACAAGTAGAATAAGCAAAACACATTCTGACACCCTCTTCCCTCACCAGCTATACCGTTATGGTCGTAACACACACTCCTTTCTCAACCTGCAGGTTCCCACCCCCCGATTTGGTGTTTGCATGATTTGCACAGTGTTAATACGTGTTCTTGTCACACTGCTCGTTTTGTGAAGACGAGCTGTGCTTGGCAATTGGAGAGCCGTGTGATGGGCGACCATCTCGCACGGTCTCGACGGTTCGGAGAGCACTTGTTACGACCGTCTAGGCTCGACTCTTTCTTCGAGCCTAGCGGCATGATTTGCACTGTGTTAATACGTGTTCTTGTCACACTGCTCGCTTTGTGAAGACGAGCTGTGCTTGGCAATTGGAGAGCCATGTGATGGGCGACCATCTCGCACGTTTCGGAGAGCACTTGTTACGACCGTCTAGGCTCGACTCTTTCTTCGAGCCTAGCGGTGGAACTCTCGACTCTATTCGTGTTTTAATGAAATTACGTACCCGTAAAAAATGGCCGGGAAATCCTGGCCTTACGGGTACCCACCCTTGAGTTAGTTTTGTTGTTTCTGAAGCAAGTTCCTGGGCTTATAGTTTAATTGGTTCTTTTAGAATCTCTCAAATTCAGTGTTACCCATGGGAATCACATTATTCCTTCGAAATGAAATGAAGTTTGTTAAACTTTGTTTGGGAGCTGATCTTCGGTGTCGATCACACTGCGTGTTTGCTGTGTATGCAGATGGAGTGATTGGCATGGGACTGGCAGCAGCTGCAGTTGGGGTTGTTGCTGGTGGTGTGGCGGCTCTTGTGGCGAGTGCAAGGAGATAAACAAAGGCCCAATTTTTTAATGTGGCAGTGTAACATGAAGCGATCGATTATATTGGTGCAGTTCAGGCGGACAAGGAGCGATTGCAGCTTCTGAAGCATGTCGTCGTGAATGAAGATATGTGAAGCAGGGTGTGGTTCTTGGTGAGATAAGGGTGTGGTTCTTCGTGAGATAAACTAAGTTCATGACACTACAGATGGAGTGAGATGATGGAGTGTAAGGCACATTTGTCTATCTGGTCAGTTTTGGTTTATAGTTGTTTGCCTGGTCACAGCGCCTGGTGGTTTGTGCCAGCGCTGGTGTTGGCTATGCTTTCTCGCAGCAACTGCTTGTCGGCTCTATTCCTGGTTGCGAAAGCGAGTACTTGACGCCCTCGTTTGTTATAAGGAATGATCCGCTTCTTGGTAATGCTTATGCAGATCTTCGGCTTGCTTCCCACCATTGATCGGTGGCGTGTGTGGTGTTGTCTGGAAGACGTGGCGCATGTGGCAATGGATCCTGGGTTTTGGATGGGGCGGAAGGAAATTTGTATTGTGTCTGTAAGTAAGCCTCACTTTGCCGAGCAAGCCGTCAAGGCTGTTGTGCTGCAGAGCAGAGGCATACTGGTCGATCTCTTTTTTTCCATTACTGTGAAGCGTTATTACTCAAGTTCATCGGGGACGACTGCCCTCTGCAGGAAGGGTTGCGGTCCAAAACTTCATATCTCCGCAACTGTGAACCCTTCCAGTGTCACGCGATTGCTCCCAATGAACTCGAGTAATGACAGTTTGCAGCATTGGAAAAAGAGATCGACCAGTATGCCTCTGCTCTGCAGCACAACAGCCTTGACGGCTTGCTCGGTCCAGTGCCGCTTGGTAATAGGTACCTTTCGTCCTTCAAAACCCGGCTGAGGATCCAATGCCATGTGGCGCCAGGTCTTGAACACACACCCCGCATTGCACCAATCTATGGTGGGAAGCAAAACGATCTGCCTTAACATTCTCGTTTGTGTTCGTGAGAAGTTGATCGCCTCATTTGTTGTAAGGAATGATACGCTTGCTCCTGTGGGCTTTTTGACAAACGGGGTATGTTTCAAAGCTTTTGCACACAATAATGGCGTGATCCTGTCAGCCTTGGCCATCAATTCATCGCACTTTTCCGCTCATTATCAAGTTGCAGAATCTGTAAAGCTGCACCTTCATGGCACAGTCACAGAGGAGAGTGCGAATTCGAAACGTTGTTTGTCGTTGTGAAGTGTTTGTCCACTTGGATGGATGGATGAATTAATCAACAAGGACAGGGATTTGCAGGGTAGAGAGAGAGAGAGAGAGAGAGAGAGAGAGAGAGAGAGAGAGAGAGAGAGAGAGAGAGAGAGAGAGAGAGAGAGAGAGAGAGAGGTATTGGACTGTGGGGTGGTGTAAACAGGGAAGGCACGTCCTTGCGATAAGGGTGTGCAAGAGTGTCAGTTTAGCTGTTACATAGCATGCGCTTCTGGATGATATAATTGCAGCGGATGACTTTTTTATTCTGTAACATAGCAGAGGCTAGAGGGAGTGTCTCCGTCATGTACCATATCAAAATTCAAGAGGATTATTTCCTGTTGTGTAAGCATAGCGGAGGCAACTGGTGTCTATCACGTAGATTTTTTAAGTCTCTGCTCCCTGCGAGGTAGCATGCTGCCGTTCCTTCCTCTTGGAATGGAGTTCTTGGTGGCGATCTTGTATTATGCTTTTGGGTGTGTGCTAATGGTGTAGCTATGTCCATCTCTGGATATAAGTAGTGGTTGACTATGTGTGCATGTGTGGGTGTGAACTCCTCGAGAGCAGTGATAGAGACAGTAATGTCCAATGGTAGGATGAAGAGACGGCTTTCATGCAAAATGTGTTGTGTGTACACAGACACCTTGTGGGGGGGGGAGGCGGGGGGGCTCGGCAGAGGAAGTTGCGTATCAGGTGTGATTTGTGCCTTAAGTTGCCCTTAACTCATCGAGGGACGGGCCTGAACAGACAGAGCGACGAGGTAGGGAGATAGAAGGAAGGACATATGAAAGGTGTTGTTCGTACACGGACCTCTTGTATGTGTGCGGGCTCAGTGGATGAAGGTGCTTGTCAGCTTCGATGTGCCTTCACTCATAGAGGGACTGAAGTCAGTGAAGAACACATCAGGGCGAGGCGATAGAAATCAGAAGCTGTCAGTTATGGCACTTGTGCTGGAGTGTTCTGCGCACTGTACTTGGTGGGGAACTTGGGGGGGAGAGAAATCTGGAGCTGTTGGTTATGGCGCTTGTGCTGGAGTGTCCTTCAGGGGCATGCTTTCTTGGGGACCGGGTTGGGTGAGTGTGACACTGGCTTTCTCTTTTCTAGGACCTTGAGTGAACGGCACTGCCAGCGACCGTTGCTGGAATTGATCTTCTTCAAGTCATCAACCGATTCAACCCGCTATCTTATATCGCTTCAAAGTTAAAAATTGAAATTATAGATTCTTCTTTCATCAAAGTAAAGAGATTGAGCACACACACTCTTTTCCAGGACTTGACATGTGTATTAGCTTCTTGCCTGTAGGTACACCACCATCATGTTGCATTTTTTTTTTTATTCAACCTTCCTTTGGATTGACCCTGGCGTTCAGAAACCATGGTAAGACCGATGGTAGATTTTTTTTTTTTTTTTTTTTTTTTTTTTTTTTTTTTTTTTTTTTTTTTTACTGAGCCTAGCGCTCATGACAGTTGGCTCTACCTGATTTTTCTGTACCAGTGGGCTCTACCATGACGATCGGTGATGCTATGGCAGAGGCTGCCGTCACCAGGCCTCCAGCTACTGCTGGACTGTCCCCCCCCAGATCCACTTGAGGAGTAGTAGTTGAAAATGCCATGGGTTTTTGCATCGTAAAATGCAAGTATATCTGCGTGGTCCATCGGGTACTGGTGCGGTTTGTGGAGGGCATCTACAGCAAGTTTTGCGTTACGTATCTTTCTTTGTGGAGGATGGTTACAGCAAGTTTTGCGCTAACTATCTTTCTTTCTCGCCTTGCAAGTGCAGCCTCAAGCTCAATGATTGGTGGGGAATGAATGGAAAAAGAAAAAGAAAAAAATGTGGAGAAGTACCGTGATCTTGTTTTCTTTGCTCGGAGTGGTTTCTGTGTGTACGTTCCCCATTCCTGTTTTTTTTTTTTTTTTTTTTTTTTTTTTTTTTTTTCATGTACTCCGTCCAAATCAGGTGCCAACCATGTTTTGGTACGTGTTTTTCCTTCACATGTGCTGGGTACCTTTGATGTCCACTCTTGTGCTGTCGGGTTACGGAGAACATTCAGCGTTTGACCTGTTGTTATGCGATTGCACGTTTTGCTTTTCTGCTTTTGATGCCCTTAAGTTATGGGTCTCAATAGGAGTACTGATATGTGATGCACTCAAAGAATGCTGGGTGTCGTCAGCCTGCATGACGGCGGGAAGTCGGAGCGGGACGCTCGAACTGGAGAGCAGAAGAGGCTACTGCTTTGATAGAGCTCTTTCTGCACGCGAATGTAAAAATTTAAAATTCAAAATTTTGCAAACGGCCGGCATGCGAAGGTGACTTTGAGCGGTGGAAACTTTGGGAAGTTAGCAGATATGCATTGTTTTAGCCAAACGATTAACAAACTTGTGTTCGACCAGTTAAGCGAAGAGTTCATCCTGCCTGGAAAAGCTGCATTCCACATTGTGTGTGGGTGGGTGGACACGAGTGTGGTCCTTGGGGGTGGGGAGGGTTGGTATGAGAGAGAGAGAGAGAGAGAGAGAGAGAGAGAGAGAGAGAGAGAGAGAGAGAGAGAGAGAGAGAGAGAGGCTCAATTTGATCACCCTGAGATGTGTTCCAACGCTTCCCAGCCCAATGGCACTTAACACCAAGTGTCCTCAACATACATACTTCAACACAGACAACATAAGTTAGACAGGCGGCATGAGGTAGGGGAACAGGAAACAAAAAAACAAGGGGTTAATGACGGACTGTGTAGTGGGAGGCTGAACTATCAACAGGCCGTAGGATGCCCATTTTGATGCTGTGACTATACAGTCCCGCAGGTGATGACACAAGCAGGCAACAGGGGGCCATATTACACGTAACAACAAAGCACAAGGCCTGAGGGCATGGGGGAGGATGGTGGGCACCCACCTACAACGAAGCACAAGGGGGGAGGAGGGTGGGGGAGGAAGGTGGGCACCCACCAAAGGACGAGGTAAGCAACGGGGAAGTATGATGAGCAGCAGGTGACAAGGCAAGGAAGCAGCAAGGGAGTAAAAGACAACGAGGCACAAGGAGGGGCAATGTGGATGGGCAGCCAGGCAGCATGGCAGCACTCAGGGCGAAAAGGCGGCGGTAAATCTGATTGTGTGTGTGTTCTGTGTCATGATGTAGGTAGGTATATGGAAGTGCTCCGATCTCGATCTGCTACCCGTCAAGGATGGATGCGAACGACCATGATGATTATGATGTAGGACTCGGATGTCCGCATCGTCAACGCAAAGAACACAGAAAAGATGAAGAAAGGAAAAGAAAAGAAAAGAAAAGAAGATGGATGCTGACAGATGGATTCATCGGGCTCACACCAACTTGTAATGAGGCTGAAGCCACTGAATCCTTTATAGTCTGCAGAATCACCATTTTATGTTTTGAAGTAGACAGCCAGGCAGTTGGCCACACAAGTGGCAAGGCAAAGAAGGGGGGCAGCAGTGAAGCGGAGGGGGGAGTGGGTGGGCAGAAGGGCACAGAGGTGAACAACAAGTCAGAAATGCCAGTAGCAACTAGGCACACAATCCACCAAGCACGCGGCTCGGCAGCCATGCACGTAGGAACGCAATGAAGCAGAAAGCGGAGGGCAGGTGAGCAGGCAAAGCCAGGGGCAAGTGTCGATATCTAGGCAGTGGGTGAAGTTGCCACGATCATCATACGTACAGCATGGAGCAAAGCAGATCATCACCAACTCACACGGGGATTGACACTAGAGACTGTTCATGCCCCATCATCAAGAGCCACGGAGCCGCAAAACGATTTTCTGTCAATGCTGGGGAACATAGAGAAACAGACATGCTGAACACAGATATTCCAAACACAGCATCCCCCTAACACAGTATTTGCATAGAAATAGGCAAGTAGTTGGAACATCTTAACCCACAAGTACACGGCCCCAGCCTTGCAGAAACATCTTAACCCACAAGTACACGGCCCCAGCCTTGCAGAAAGTTTTTGTTGCCACAAGCAAAGGGGCCGCGCGACGTGGGGCGCCGTTGAAAAAAGTAATCTGCGGCCTCCGAAGTGGTGGGGGTTTCGTGCTGACACCCACGGGCCGCTGTGTGGTGGACACGGCGCCAGCCTTGTGGATTTTTTAATTAACCCCCCCCCCCCCCCCCCCCCCTCACAAAACCCGTCAGAAAACGGAATTGATACCTCTCTCTCTCTCTCTCTCTCTCTCTCTCTCTTTCCCCACACACACACACACACACCCCCCCCCCCCCCCCCCCCACACACACACACACACACAACAAGAGAGCTCCAATCTATTAGTGGGGAGCAGCACCTGCTGGAAAACGGGTCCAGCGTCCGTCACAAGTAGCGGAATGTAGTTGTTCAAGGAGAAGTCTTGTGGGAAATTTCAAATTTGTTAATCTCGTACTCTGAACTTTTCAGTGCTCAGGGCAACGAGGCTACAATGGCTGGCGATGCTGGCCAAACAAGAAAAAAACTTTAAAAAAGTGTGCCGCTGACGGTTCGGCAAAGCTTGATGTGCAGTGCAGCTCCTCCCGATGCGGGTGCACTGGTGGTTTAGAGCTGCTCACTTCGGGAAACACAGGGAAATGCCAGAACATGCAGAAAGCGGAAAGCACAAAGAAAACACCACGAGGAAGAGAAGGTGCATGATTTTGTGTGTGTGTGTGGGGGGGGGGGGGAGAGGGTGTGAACTCTATGCCAGACGGAACTCCGACGTACACTACGAGATCGGTGGGAGGAGTGGCCAAGTCTGTCAATGATGTGGGAACGTATGTCAGGCGGTGCAGCAGCCGAGGTGTCCGGTGAGCGCGGCTTATTGCTGTCGAAAGGGAGCGGTCACCGGGCGGTGTGAAAGAATTTACGAGGATGTGCAGACTAGGACAAGGAAGGCGACAATTATTTACGGAAGGGACAGAGGCAGACGAACTGCGGGTGGTGGCGTATGGGAGGTGAGTGGGCAAACAAACAGCACAAGAGAGCTATGGAAAAGTCAGCGAGTCGAACAGAAGTGAGGCAGAAGGAAGCAAACAAGGAAAAAATACGAGTCCCAAAAGAAGGCAATGGCAGACGAAAAAAGGAACTGATGATTACAGATTGCTTCATCGGACCAGCACCGACTCGTCAGGCGGGTGAACCGTCAACAATCTCTGGAATCCACATATTGACGTTTGGGGTCATGAACCCGTGGACCCTTGTTGACGGTGGATGGTCCACGAACAGCACCACACGCAGAACACAGCAGTATCGCAACGACTTACCGAAGCACCACGTAACGCTACGGGGGCAACCCAACTGCACAGCATCTAAGCTAACTGCATCGAACGAAGCCCAAGTGAATGGGCAGCAAGGCAACAGAAGCACTGGGAACGTTGCCACGCTATACGGCACAGATGGGAAGCAGGGCAGTAATGGAGCGAATCACATCGCAACACCAACAAAGCAGCAAAAACACCAGCTGCAAAGAGCAACCTGGGAAGTGAGAGGGATGGGCGGCAAGGCAGCACCAGGGCGCAGACAAAGCAGGCCACACATCCAACACGGCACGAAGTAGTACATCACCTACTTGCACAATAAATGCACACAACCACCCGCAGACTATTGGTTCCCACCACCTGCTGTGCCAGGAAATCACTCCGATGAAACGTCTATCTCCAAGTTTGATTGGCCTTTGCAATCATCTCGAGTTTTCACTAGAGGAGGGGTTAGACTGTACCTTTATTTCACCTCGTAGGCTGACGGCGGCGTCACATGTCTACGCTTTCCGTCTTCATATGCTAGATCCAGTACGACTAGGAGTCAGTCAAGCCACTGCCTCAGGAAGTAACTAGGTCCTTTCCTCACCCAGAGACTCTATGCATCACAGAGATCAAGAATGGAGTGTGCAGGCACTGCAAACAAGGAAGCGCCGAGTGTTTGGCACTGCTTAGAAGGGCTTGCTTAAACAATCAGAAAGTAAGGGAAAAACAGACGCACATAAAAAAGATTGTGTGCGCGCGCACGGTGCCCGCAGTGGCACGAGGCCTGATGATGGACTAGAGACATACACATACAACAGGCAAGGCCAATCCAGCCAACACCTACTCGCACCACGAATGCACCCCACCACCCCACAGACTCTTAAGGAAGTACTGGGGCAGCATTTCCCTGGCGGCGTTTCGCTGGAGATATCAATCCAGGCTAAACGGGCCTCACATGCAACTGGTTTTGCCGGCATGAATATCCAGAGAAACGGCACCCTGGTACTTCCTGAGAGTCGGGTGCATGTCAACAAGCTTT